TAAGTAAGTAAATAAATAAATAAATGATGTAAATAAAGGAAAGAACTTTTTTTACAGAAATTAGTATCTGTATAATGTCTGTATTTATATACAGACAATAAGATGTGATCCACATATTTGAACTACATTTAGGATGGTCCCCTGGTGGCACCGTGGGTTAAACCGCTGAGTTGCTGAATTTACTGATTGAAGGATTGGCAGTTTGAATCTGGGGAGCGGGGTGAACTCCCACTGTTAGGCTCAGCTTCTGCCAACCTAGCAGTTCAAAAGCATGCAAATGTGAGTAGATCAGTAGATACTGCTTCTGCTGGAAGGTAACAGTGCTCCATGCAGTCATGCCAGCCATATGACCTTGGAAGTTTCTACGGACAATGCCAGCTCTTCGGCTTAGAAATGGAGATGAGCACCACCCCCCAGAGTCAGAAATGACTAGACTTAATGTCAGGAGAAACCTTTACCTTTGGATGGCCACATTTCAGAAATTCTGTCCTGGTTTGCGTAGCAACAAATATTTTAAATGGAGCCAAATGATATCAGTAAAGGTAGAACAACAAATCACGGCATCAAGTGTTGGTTGGTTGAAGATAATTTGGGGCTGGGTTCCATTCATAAACTTAGCCATAATGTTCACCTGTTCTTATCTTGCTGTGAACATAAAAACAAGTAAATTTGTCTGTGCCATGTTGAGCTGGATTCATCTCAGAAATATGAATAAACATAAATGAATAAGAGCCAGTGTGATACAATGGTTTAAACTTAGAACTATGATTCTGGATTCCATCTAAATACCTGCTTGGCCATGGAAGTCCATTGTACGAACTTGAGTGGGTCACGCTTTCTAGCCACAGAGGAAAGTAATGGGAAATCTTGTCTAAACAACTCTTGCCAAACAAATCCTATGATAGGCTTGCCTTAGGGTTGCCATGAGTCATAAACGACAACAAATAAATACATACAGAGAATGATTCTTCATATTAATCAGTGGTCAGAAGAATCCTTCTGAATATAATGTGTTTATATTTTTGCTTAAGAAGTGAGACATATTTTAAAAATTCTCACACCCTCCTTTTTAAAAATAGAACTGGATATTTGGTTTTGCCTCAGGCCCTGTAACTGTTATGCAATTAGGTGATAATCATTTTGTAATTATATGCAAATTCCCTGTAGATAATCAATAAGACTTAAACTTTCAAAACAAAACACTAGGGATGAGTGCAAGATGCATGGTATGTGAAGATATACTTGAAGAAGCATTCCATGTTTAAATTATTTATGTAAAACCCGTAGTTGTATAAGAGGATGGCCTAGCTGGGCAAACAGAGGAATTCATGTAACCGTAGTGAGTGTTAATTCCCTATCACACTGAAATCCTTTCAAATAAAACCTGCTAAATGTCATTTCAGTTTTTTTCTTCATAGTAACAGCATATGTTTTCAAAGCTAGAAGTTCAGGAATTTTAAAATACAGGCTCAAGTATGTGAAAGAGAATCGTTTAGAGATTAGCAGTGAAACATATTAAAAAGTTTCCGTATGCCTTGAAGCTGTTTCCAACCTATTGTGACTCTAAGGTAAAGCTATAATATCCCAGGTCTTTATCCTCTAGTCCAGTGGTTCTCCACCTGTGGGTCCTCAGGTGTTTTGGCCTACAACTTCCAGAAATCTCAGCCAGTTTACCAGCTGTTAGGATTTCTCAGAGTTGAAGGCCAAAACATCTGGGGACCCACAGGTTGAGAACCACTGCACTACACCATGCTAGCTCTTTTGCTTAATTAATTAATTAATTAATAATAATAATAATAATAATAATAATAATTTTATTTCTTACTCACCTCTCTTTGTGGCTCAAAGCAGGTTACAAATATATATAACCATGATATAAAATACACATATTAAAATGTATTTCTACAGAATACATATATTAAAATACACAGAACAATTATTAAAATATAGAGCACATAAGAAACAAGTTTAAATTTATTTATTTATTTACTGTACGCATACCCTGCTCTTCTCATCCCTGAAGGGGGACTTAGTGCGACTTACAAACTATAGCAATAATTCAATGCCAGATTCACATAATAACAATATCATTAAAACACAATATTATAATTTTTTTAAAAAAAACACACACATACATGTCAATTAAAGTAGCCTTCTTGATTAAAATTCATGATTAGAACTGGCTGGGTAGGCTTGCCAAAAGAGGGTCTTCAATTGTGTCTTAAATTCGGACAGCTGATCAAGCTGTCAAATCTCTTCCAGCAGGTTGTTCCACAGTCGTTGGGTGGCTGATGAAAAGTAAAAGTATGTTGTAAAAGAATCTCATGCCAATTATAGTAGAAATTCATCACTGGACATACAGTAGATCTTTACTGGAATACATAGTATTAACACATTTAATCTGTGAATCAAGCTTGTCTATTCTATGTGCGGATGTCTGCACAATTCAAAAGTTAACAATGTAGAGCTATCATCCTAATTAAGGCTGTAGTTGTTGTTATGTGCCTTCCAAGTTGTGTTTGAACTATGGGGGTTCTAAGGGCACTTCCAGACAACCCTTTATCCTGTGGGGGGGGGGCTGGCCACACCCTTTATTCCTGGGGGGCCTGTCCACGCCCACCCCAGAAAGTGTGCGCTTTCTGGCTGGGCATCCAGATGTTCTGCTGAGACTAGTCTGGCAGAATATCTGCAGACCCCCCTCCCCCACAACCTCCAAACCCCTCCCCCCCTATTTTCCTGTCATTTCTACGTACCGGGAGAGCTCTGGCAAGAATGTAATGGAGGCCAGATAAGTTTATTTTACTTTTAAAAGGGGTTTGGGGGTGTGGGGGAAGAGGGAAGGGGGTGGGATTCCCACAGTTTTCTGACTAATTTAGAATGGAAAACTGGAAATGTAGTAGTGGGTTCTCCAAGAAGGCGTGGAATAAATTCACTATCTAATTAGTTCACCACAAACCAGGGGTTTCCTGGTTTGTGGTGAATTAATTGTGGGTTGACCAGAATGTCATCTGTTATGGAAGTTTCTGCAATAAAGGAGGATTTCTGCAAGATTTGTTCAGAAGGAGTTTGCATTCCTCTCAGGCTTGGAGGTTGTGACTTGTACAAGATCAGTCCATGGGTTTCCATGGCCAATTTCACATATACCCACCAGTTTAGGCAGCTGACTTTTAGTGACTGGAGCTAGATCCAGGCTTAATCATGCTTAGAATAGGCCTAATGAAGTCAATAAGTTTCAGTTTCTCACGATTAACCAATCTCATTTACTTTAACAGGCCTAGTATAGATATTGGATCCAATCTATGCTTGTTATTCTATGATTCTATGGCTCCTTCCCCACAGCAGAATATTCCAGTTGCTTTGAACTGGAATATATGGCAGTGTGGACTCAGATAACCCAGTTCAAAGCAGATATTGTTGGATTTTCCGCCTTGATATTCTGGGTTATATGGTTGTGTGGAACGACCATATGATTCAGTCCTGTGTGCATGTCAATTATTTTTTTATTTCTTTTAGAAAGTCACAAGGTCATCATAAGTTGACAAACAGATTAAAACATACATATACACACAAAAATATAATCTTTTTTACTTACTTTCAGTTGCTAAACCAAACAATTTTATAAAGGATCAAAAGTAATCCAGTCTTGATAATAAAAGATAAAAACAAAAAAGTTAAAGTAGCAGAATTAAAGCTTTCAGTCTTTGACTAAAAATAATTAAAAGGAAAGCAAAATAAGAATGCGCTCACTATTCATTTTAAAGTCATGAGAGATGAAGCTAGTTTGACTTTCCTTGGATGGAAATTCCATCATTGGGATGTTGGCAGAGAAAAGACCCTCCCTCATATTTCCATATCTGGGAGCTCTGGGCCCTTCCACACACCTCTATATCCCAGAATATCAAGTCGGAAAATCCCACAATGTCTGCTGTGAACACAGGGTTATCTGAGTCCACACTGCTATATATCCCAGTTCAAAGCAGATAATGTGGGATTTTATTCAGCTGTGTGGAAGGGACATCTATGGCTGGTGAAGCATATAATGCATCCTTTGAATATGAACTCAAACCATGGCCAGATTTACATGGGAGAAGGTGGTGTTTCAGATAGACCTGAGTTCATTTGTCATGTACACTTACTGAATCCAGACTTGGGTAATCACTTTCCTTCTCCAGGACCTATTCCACACAGCTGTATAAAATCCACATTGAGCTGGATTATATGGCAGAGTGGACTCAGATAAACCAGTTCAAAGCAGATATTGTGGATTATCTTCCTTGATATTCTGGGTTATAGGACTGTGTGAAAGGGCTCTAGGATGGCTGTTAGGGCGAGCTTTTGCATGAAGCACCACACATTTGGGGGGAAAATGGCTGGAGGATTTTTCAAAAAGTAGATGCTGTCAGAGAACCATCTGCACTGCCCTATAATCCAGTTTCTGAATTCAGATTATCTTCTTTGAACTGGATTATATGGCAGTATTGACTCATATAATCCAGTTTAAAGCACATAATCTGTATTCAGAATGAAACTGGATTATAGGTCAGTGTAGGTCCAGCCTGGGCCTATGAAGAGCTGTACAATGCAGAAAGCACCCTGATTTTATTGTGTCTTCTCCATTAGTTTTCTGTGGTGGGTATCATGGATGGGTCAGAGCAAGAACAAATTAACCCTCCTTTTGTCATGTGTTTTAGCAACCACATTCTGGTGTGCAAAATTTTTCCAGTTTGCATAATTTGGAGCTCAGATCTCATGAGCTATTTAGTTTTTAATTATAGTAAGATGTATTTATAAATAATTCATGCATGTTCTATAATGTTCCACTTCTTCCTCCCCCTTGCTTTTAAAATAACATTGCTGTATAATCACGGTTGCTTGCATTTGACTCAGATGATTGATAGTGCAAAGTGTTGGCAGGGATGTGACTTGCTGTCAGACCGTCTTGAGAATCATGTTAGTTTGTGATTTTTCTCTCTTTCTTTCTTTCCTCATGTTTTCTGTAGTCCCGGCAAACTCCTGAGGGTGAATTTCTCCCACTCGATCAGCTTGAACTGGATGTAGGTTTTAGCACGGGGGCAGACCAACTTTTTCTTGTTTCGCCACTTACAATCTGCCATGTGATCGATTCCAAAAGTCCCTTCTATGACCTTTCCCAAAGAAGCATGCAAACAGAACAGTTTGAGATTGTTGTCATCCTAGAGGGCATCGTGGAGACAACGGGTGAGTACAGTGATTGCCAAAATGCTGAAACCACAAGTTTCTACACACACAAAAGTAAAATTAAAAGGTTATTTTTGTGCATGTGATCATTAAGGACAACGTGAACGAAATACTTAGCAGTAATTTTAAATGTTAGACATATGGTTTCACAGTTTGACTGTATTGCACATGTTTGAATATCCAAATTATAATGGGGGCTAGTGACAAAAAGTTTTCCACTTATATGTTTTTGGATAATAATGCTCTATAACATCTTTTATTGATTTTGCATTAACTTTTCTTTCTAGCGTGGATGCTTTCTATATTCATCACTGTCAGGGCTGACAAAAGCATGTGGGAATTGTAACTCACAATCTGGAAAGCCACAGTTTTCCTAGCTCTGTAAGATAAGCAGTGAGCTTTGACAGCCAGCATGGTAGAATCTCAGGAATGATGCAATATTAGGTTTCTGGGGTTTTTTTGTTTGTTTGTTTTTTTGTCAGGAGCAACTTGAGAAACTGCAAGTTGCATCTGGTGTAAGAGAACTGGCCGTCTGCAAGGATGTTGCCCAGGGGATGCCTGGATGTTTTTGATGTTCTACCTTCCTTGTGGGAGGCTTCTCTCATGTCCCCACATGGGGAGCTGGAGCTGACAGAGGGAGCTCATTCGCACTCTCCCCGGATTCGATCCTCTGACCTGTCAGTCTTCAGTCCAGCTGGCACAAGGATTTGACTCATTGCACCACTGGGAACAATGTTTATTCTTGCATAGTGGGTTTATTCTTGCATAGTGGGTTTTTCCTGAGGGGGGGGGGATTTAGAAGTTTTAATTCTGGTGAAAATGTTTTTTTTATATAGCATTCTTCCACACCAAGCATTCTTAAAATACTCCTGTGGAGACTCCAAGTTACAATACATAGATTACAAAGCTGAGTTGGCGATTAGATTCCAGTTGTGCATATACTATAGAACTGGTCTCCATGTCCTAAATACGGTATATAGTGGCCTTCTTTATTTATGTCACAGTTACCTTGGAGAATCTGATGAAAAAGTATATTGCCCCTTCTCTCAAAATGCACTTAACCACAAATTTCAGAGTAACAAGAAAAAAAATCAGGAGATTTTGCCTCTAGTTCACAGATCAGCTGAAATGGCCTAAAATTAATTCTACCTACATTGACAATGTGACGTATTTGGCTGAGACGTTTGCACTTGTTCTGCAACATATCTCCAGCCTACAATACAAAGGGCATGTCCTATGATTGGAATGTAGCAATGGAGGGGTATAACCTATTTCAGAGAAATAGTCCAAACTTTATTATTCTATGAGTCTATCTAATATTTGTATGAGATACAATCTTTCTTTGTGTTCACTGCAGAAGATATTGATGAATGTAGGTTCAGCACATAATGTCTATTCTGTACAGCGAGTGAATTACTATTTTCTTGTTCCATGGAAAGTGAGAAAGGAATGGCTTCCAATGTGTTTGATATCCCTACCATAATGGCCAGCCATAATGCCGAATGATCCTGGTGAGAAGGATTATTACATAAAAGTCACGTATGATAGATGTGGTCTAAAGAGTGCCAGTTTGTCCTGCTTATTTCCCTTTACCTTCTCACCCTGTTTCCTTATGTCAAATATATTCATCTTGACACAGTGAGTGGAGCCGCCCTTGAGTTTTTTGGTTTTGGTTTTGCTGCAACAATTTCAAATTAGTGACGACTGCAAAATACTGCTTTGGAAGATCTGGCTGCTGTTAGTTTAGACTTCTAATCTCATTTTTATTTTTCCTCTGTGTATTTGCTAGATAACAAAGATTGCTGATGTTAAAAATAAAAGTAATGATTTGCAGAATGAGCAATATGAAAAATAACATATAAAGAGATGCAATAGTATGATATATAATTCAAAATACTGTAGTAATGAAAGATGAAAGAGCTGGAACTCAAAAAAAACTCATCAGGCTGATTATTAGCAATTGTAAAAGAAAATATTAGCTGTGTGCCAAATCAAAGTCAGCTAATAAGAAATTTAATAGAAAAGGGAATGATACTGTAAGTTGACAGAGATAAAAATGGAAAATGATTTCATGCATAAGAAGAAAATTATGGGTTTTGGGATGAGGGATACAATTTTAAGTAGATTTGTTTTGGAAAAAAAGACACAGTAAATGTTGTAAGTAAAGAAATTAAGCCAACGTATAGTGTTATTCATGCAACAGAATATATATATATTGAAGAACAAAGGTTCTTAAAGTTGAATTTAGCACACAATATTCTAGCTTTTTGACAAATAATATGATACAGTAATTTAATCTTTTTTTCACATAAGTAAACACAGTTGGTTGATAGCAGCAGCAATAAGATCTGAACAATTGAAAGGTTAGTAGTTCGAAGCCTGTGTCGGGGTGAATACCTGACCTTCAGCCCAGCTCATTGTCCACCTAAGCAGTTTGAAAACAGCTGTGAGCTGTGAGCAGAGAAATTAGGCACCGCTTAAGTGGGGAGGTATTTTACAGCACCATAAAAAAGAAGCACCAGAAAATTAAAGGATCAAAGGAAGGAGGAAGTCTGTGATCAAGGGCTCTTCTTCATAGAGGATGGAGCAACAGCACCCCCTGTGGCCAGAATCAAGCACAACCTCCAGGATGCCAAAGCTGGGAAAATGCCAACATAATACCTCTATCTGTTGTCTGTCCTATCTGTTTAACAGCACTGAATGTTTGCCGTGTATGTGTTCTGTATCCTGCCCTAAGTCCCCTTCGGGGTGAGAAGGATGGAATATAAATGCTGTAAATAAATTAATATATAGTAGTCGGCTTGAACTTTGCTAGGCCTTCCCTCCCTGCCTTCCTTCCTTCCTCTTTACCAGTGTCTTTGACATTATGGAAAAGGAGTATATAAGCCAAGCCTGCAATACATATTTTGAAAATTAACAGGGCCATGATACATTTGGAAAAATGACAGTTTTATATGATAAAATAATCAGCATGTGATTATACAGAGCACATTTTAAATGGAGGTGACTGTCACCATCAAGCAATACTCAGCTAGATATGCAGGCATGATAACACAGGGCTAAGGCTAATGTTAAGAGTCAACTAAAGAACAGAATAGCTTTATTGTCATTGTACTATTGCAAAAAATTTAAGTAGATCCATTGAAATCTATAGGACATATTTAAATGGCGAATAACAAGTCCCATCCAGTCCATTCCTCTACAATCTAACATTGGCTTTAGTTCACAGTCTCTGTAAAGGACTACATTTTCTGCTACAAGTAAGAGTTTTTGAGTGGCTTCCTTTTTTCTGTCTCAGCTTGCAGGTTGTATCTATAGAGTAATTCTAAAGAGAGCCTTTGGTGTTGACACCTAAAAGTTTGGATGGGGATAAGGTAGCATTAATTTTGAACCTATTTGAGGGATCCTGAAGATCATTGTAATATATACCATCCTGGTTCAGAAGTGGGAGTGATATTTAAGGTTGGGAGGGCCATCATGTATTGAATTTGGAACTGCTTGCTAGTGAATGTGAGTAATGTTGGAGACCGTATGTTGCATTTCCAGTATGCATTACTGTGTATCTTCTCTTCTGATAAGCTTTAAACACATGGATTGGATTAAATTGTTACATGTTTTGTTTGGTATTGTTGAGTGTAGTGAGCCAGAGTGATGTGGCTTGAGCACTTGACTATGAAATCCCTGCATGGCCATGATCGAATCCATCTGATCTTGGGCAAGTCACAGTCTCTCAGACTTAGAGGAAGGCAAAGGCAACCCCCCCCCCCCCCCCCCCCGCTCAGAAGTCTTGCCAAGAAGACCCAATGATGGATTTGCCTTAGGGTTGCCATCAGTTAGAAACCATCTGAAGGCTGGTATTTAATGAAAAATGGTTTCAAATTGTTGTGAAATCTCCTGTAACGTGTCAATGACATGTGAGGCAACCTCTCCATATCCACACTTTTGCCACTGAAGACCTTTCCCAGTTCAAAGACCCTTCTCCAAACCCTAAACTGAAGTTATATTTATTATGTCTTTGTTTCTTGATAATTATAATGGTAATGATTTGTATGATTATGCTGTGGAAATGAAACTGTTGATTTATCAGTTGCAGTTATTGTTGTTGTATTTCTTTAGAGACTTCATCTCACTGAACATGTCAAGTGTCTGGAAGAGTGGTTTACCATACAGTTCAGGCATACTCTGTTTTGAAATTAAATGGCTGATTTTTCTACCCATCACACACTAGCAAACTAAATGTTTGCCATCACATTGTAGAGAGTTGATTTGCATAACATTGTAGAGAGTTGTTCCCGCTCACTGTGCCTCCCTCATTTTCTTTGTGAAAAGAAACATCTCCTGGACAATGATTTTTGTTCCTCAGTTATAATTGTAATTTCCTTTATTAGTTCTATCATAAACCCATGGGAAAAGTTTATTAAACTGCAAAAACTTTCTCTTTGCAGGAGGGACATCCTGCTATAGGACACTTTGCTCTAGTTTCTCATGACTGAATATCTTGTAGAGTCTCCACCAATTTAACATAGTTTGTGGGCACAAAAACAAAGTTTCTGGAGCACAAAAACTACTTTCAAAGCAAGGACTACACGATTAAACAGGAAATAACACTTGCAAATTAAGAACATGTTTTCTTTGTTGTTGTTGTTGTTGTTATTACTATTACTATTGGGTTGTTTTGGGTTTTTTCGAGCTATATGGCCATATTCTAGAGGCATTCTCTCCTCATGTTTCACCTCCATCTATGGCAAGCATCCCCAGAGGTAGTGAGGTGTGTTGAAACTAGGAAAAAGGGTTTATATATCTGTGGAATGACCAGGGTGGGACAAAGAACTCTTGTCTGTTGGAGCTAGGTGTGAATGTTTCAACTGACCTCCTTGATTAGCATTTGATGGCCTGGCAGTGCCTGGGGCAATCTTTTGTTGAGAGGTGATTAGATGTCCCTGATTGTTTCCCCTCTGTTGTTTTGCTGTTTTAATTTTAGAGTTTTTAAATACTGGTAG